TCTGCTGAACTTGTGTGATAAATGTGCTGTTTTTAAGTTTCCTTTTCCCGATCCTGCCGCCTTTTTAACGCCCGATATTACGCTTTATTGAGCTTTGTAAACTTCTTTTGGACTACTCATCCTTAGATCTGTCAGAGTTACAGTTTCAGAGTTCCTCAAATATCCACTTGATAAATTCTGTCGTCTCTTTTCTCTCTCTTTTTCTGTTTTTGTGAGAGTTGGAGTTGGAGTTGGAGAAGAATGTCACTGTGGAGCTATTGTGTCTTTCTCACTTCAGCACTTACACTTTCTAACACATCCTTGCTCAGACTTTTCGTGATGTCGCCGGCTCTTGGAGGAGTTTTTTGGAACTTTGAATAGTGGTTTCTAAATATAGCAGCAAGCGGCAATGATCGGCCCTCGTTCGGTGTTTACGCCTTTCCCCGCCCCTGCACCGTGCCTAAAAAAGTGCCACCAAATCTAACCCAAACCCCTAATCCTGTCATTTTTCAAAACTTTATGTGTTGATTTTTTGTTTTTTTAATCCAAGATGTTGGATTTCTGGTCTGTAAGAGGGCATGGTCACGATATATATTTTTTGTTCCTACTTCCATGCTGCATCTGGTTACCAAATTAGTTTTTTGTGAGGACGTTCCATTAGTTTATTGTCATGGCAGCACAATATGAGATGAATGTTGTGATCGAGAGCACGTCCATGTCTACGACAAATAAATGTTTATCATTCCATAAAAATACAACTCTCCACTTTCAATAAACCCATCTACTTAGAACTACTTTTGGATTGTAAAAGGGGATGGGGGTAGATAAGTGCTGCTTCTCCCCACTCCTTTTTGGAATGATTGATTTTTATATTTTTTTTATTTTATTTTGGAGATTTGGAGATTTCTGATGAGCAATCTAAAAAAAAATAAAAATGCCTTGATGTATCAGTTGATTACTGCAGAATAATGCAATTTATCGTTTAGGTCAGGAGTGTCAAACTCAAATTCACAGAGGCCAAAGTTAAAAACTGGGACTAAGTCGTGGGCCAAACTAAATATTTATTAAAAAATTTTAACAACATCTGCATGTTTTTTCTTCTTTCGAGATACGTACTGTATTTTCCGCGCTATTAGTCGCTCTGGATTATAAGACGCACTGTCATTAAATGGTCTATTTTCGAACTTTTTTCACAAATCAACCGCACCAGACTTTAAACGAAACACAACAGTGTGATGGGTGAGTGGTTTTGTTTGTTTGTTCGTTCACGGTGACTCTGGGCTTTGTTCAGTTGTGGCGTGTAGGGAGGATGATGTCTGGGACCAACGGATCGGTCGCAATGACTCAGTTGTTCAGTTGTGAGTCAGATTGGCACATTGCACTCGCTTTTTCGGTTCGTTCCTCCTCGGCGTGGAGTGATGAGTGTGTCTGTGGGTGTTTTTCGCCGTGCGGTCGCTGTCTGCTCCGTGTGTGTTTGCGTGTTCTGCAGGTGGTGCAGCTTTGTAGTTTACTGAAGTCGTGCTGGGACACCTGAGTGGATTCGTGTACAGGGCGCTCTGGATTGCGGGGCATCGTTTTTTGATGCGGTTAGAGGTTTAAGACCGCATCTAATGGTCCGGAAAATATGGTAATGTTAAACCTTTTCTTAATAAAATAAATGTTTAATAATAGTTTTGCTTAAACATTGAATCCAGAATAAGCAGAATATAAAATAATAACAAATTTTTTAATAAATAATGTCTCTATCTGTAGCCAGTGGGTCAGTTCTCATACATATTTTAAATGATCTCCCGGGCCAAATATAATTATATTGCGGGACAAATTCGGCTCTCGGGCCTCAGTTTGACTTGTCTGATTTATCATGAAACATCTAAGTAAATCATTATTATACTTCATTATTATGCACTTTTAATGTCAAACCTTTTAATACCTTTGTAATGTTCCATAGTATGTAAAGTAGAAGTGTTTAATGTCAAAAACACCTAGAAAAACTGAAATTCTGACTGTGAGCGGGGTCGCCTCTCCACAGATCTGACCTGTAACTTGGTCAGGTTTAGTCTCCATGAAGATCGAACGTTTTAATACTGTACTGTGACATATTCCAATCAATTCCAAAGCAATAAGATCTCCACAGAGAAAAAAACACCATGACAGATCCAGCACCACCAACTTTCACCTTCACTCGCATCATTTGGATAATTTCAGTCCTGGAACTGGCCTTGAAACTTGAAAACTGCCTCTACATGACATCACAACGTAGAACAGAGCATTTTGAGCTTTGGAGATGTAGACGGACTAATAAAAAATGATGTGTGAATGAAACAAAACACAACTCCAGGTGTATTTCTGAGGGGGTAACAGCGTTATAACACGGTTTAAAGCTCACAAGAATCAATTTAGCGTAATATAGGACCTTTTCGCAGCCTTTTCCCCGCGTCCCCTCAGCTGCAGACGTACCTGTCCTTTGTAAAGCCGACTCCGGGCGACGGCGGTGCGCGGCGTGTGCGTTTGAGAGCCGATGAATGGGATGTTTAAGTGGTGTCTGGGGGAGCAGTCACGGCGTCCTTGAGTGGCGTACAATAGGCACAAAGGCAGAGGTAGAGTGAGGAGCAGGAGGCGGCAGACAGATAAGAGCTCAACAGGCCTCACAATAGACTCTCTGCTGTCACTGTCTGCAGCCTTTAATGAGCCACAATCAAACAATGACGAGCCGTAATAAGCTCCGAGCTCCTGTGTGTGTGTTTGTACGGACGCATCCTGAGCACAGACGCAAAGACGGGACGTTTTCTGTAAAGAACCGAAATCCTATAGGTTTCAAACACTGTCCCGTCTAATTAAGCAGTGTTTGTGTTTTTAAAAAGTTCACGTTTGCTCAGTAACAGCGTAAAAAAACAACAGTGCGCTCAATAGTTGAATTTTCTGGGTAAACAAATGTCTCATCTTGTACAGTTTTTTTGGGGAAATCAGATTATTTTTGGGAGGTCGTTCACATTTCCAATTCAATGTGACTTGTAATTGACTTTCTAAACGCTCCAAAAGTGTCCCACATGCATTTTGGAGAACACGGCGACGTCACAAGCAGCGAACGTGCTCAGTGTTTACGGAAGTCACCTAAATATTGGACTTGTCTCTCAAAATACGGTCCAGTTCTTCGTAAAATGGACAGGTTACACATAAATGGCCGCTTAGGTTACGTTTACACTGGAACGAAACAATTTGTGTCCAGACATGTCATTTCTGTGTCTGTAAGAATCCCCTCTCCACACAACTTTGAGCATATTTGTTTACGTTTTACAGAAATTAAACTTAAAACCACATGGCTCATTTGCATAAACTGAGCGTTCAAAAAAACGTTCTCTATTGTGCACTGATGCGGTTCAGCTTCTGTCGGACTAAAGGACACGACTCAGTGGAATATGAGTGTTCTTTCTGTGACAGAGGGGTGTTCTGCTGATGGTGAGTCTGTTCTGTGTTTCTGTCGTGTTGGAGGTGGTTCATGTTAAACTTTTCAGAGATTATGTGTCACTTCAGGCTGCAGTCTGAAGCTTTAGACAGAGATACTTTAATGATCCTGAGGGAAATTCAACTTTTGCTGCAGCAACCAGCAACATTTACAATCAGTGTCTCAATCAAAGGTCTCAGTGCAGTTTAACAGGAGGACTGTTCAGGGAGGATCAGTAGGTCTGTGTCAGGGCAGTCGAGGGGAGTAATATCCCTCAGGACAAAGGTGTCCCTCAGCTCTGTCCTGCAGCATTAGGAAAGTCTCTCTCTCTCTCTCTCTCTCTCTCTCTCTCTCTCTCTCTCTCTCTCTCTCTCTCTCTCTCTCTCTCTCTCTCTCTCTCTCTCTCTCTCTCTCTCTCTCTCTTTCTCCTAAAACTCCCAGAAGAAGCAGAAACAGGCCAGTCAGCGTTTTTCCCTTGGCACTTTGGAAGTAAGTGGCTGTGGTTGGCTGCTTTTGTAGCTGCCTGGCTCACACACTGAACAGTTTTGGAAACTTTTTTGTTTTTTGAGCTCAGTTTTTAACATATCATGGATATATATCATGGAATTTTAACCAACTAAGAAGCGCAGCATGTGCATTTCAAAGGACACAAGTAAAGAACCACTGGATTCGGTGAAATGAGCTGTTTGTTTTTCCCGTATTCATGGAGACTGTAAGAGGCCAGTTAAAGAGCGAGCTATGGACAGTGAAGATGCTGCAGGCTTTTTACACTAGTTGTGTATAAATATGGTAAATAATATGTAAATATGGCAGAAGACCTTCCAGAGGAAACACTTTGAACCATTTCATCACCAACAAAAACACCAGAGTGGAGATTGGAGTGAGGCCTTTCCACCTGGCGCCCCCTGGAGGCTGCTGTGATGCTGCAGGACACAGAGGAAGGACGCTTCTGTGTCACACTCATGTTTCCTCTGAAAGATCTTGAATGAATGAATGAATGAATAATGGCCTTTATTTGTTAAATTCTTCACTTTACATTTACATACATTACAAACATAAAATACAAAACATGGGGACGACTACATGGGCCGGGCCAGAAGAAAGGTAACAGATATGAATAAACACCGCAGCAGGAGGAGAAAAAAAAAGAGAACAGCCCCAGACCATGCTCCAATATCAGTGCATGGTTTGGGGGAGTGCACAAAAAAAAAAAGTCAACACAAAAGTCAAAACACAGTACAAACTCACAGCTCACAGGACGAGCAACGGGGGAGGGGAGAGGTCTTCTGCCATATCTGATGTTTGTAGCACCTCAGACATTATAAATAAATTGTGCCGTTGATAATTTTAGACCCCAACATTGCAACATATTCTTTAAAAAACTAAACAAAAACGATACACACACTGACTTTTAAAATGCACTGAAACTTTTTAACATATAACATCTGGAGTTGTATTTAGCTTCAGTCACACTTGTTTTTTAAGTCTTCACCAGTATCGAAAAAGTGAAACGTGACTCTGCACCCGCCTCCCTGCTGCACACGGGTGTCACGGGTGGTGCTGTGGCTGCTGTGGGTGGGCCAGACCGGATGTACCTAGACTATAAGAACACACTCTCTCTCTCTCTGTTCAGTCACTTGAGCTTCAGCTTCAGCGCTGCTCCTCCACACACTCAGGCGAGGCGTGTTAAAGGTGAGCACATATTTACACTGCCTGATTACTTTAGAATTACACTTTATAATCTTTGTTTGACGATGTGAGTCTGCAGCTTTAAACGCAAATTCCTAAAAGGCAGTTGAGGCTATTTTTTCTCTCTGAAATTGTAAAACTTTGATTGAACTGCAGAAAACTTTGAGCATATTCTTAAATTATTCCATTATTTCATGTTTTATTTTTTGGTTTAGGTATATTTTAATGTTTAAACACACTTAAATCTGGTTTTAGTGTGGGTTTAGTCTTGGTCTAGTCCTGGTTTTGCTTCGATATCTGAAATGAGGTGATGCAACTGAACAAGTATGTACTGTGTTTATGTATTTCTCATCATGACTCAGCAAACGGCACAACTACAGATGAATCCTGAACAAAAGCAGCTGTTAACATTTGACTTTATTATTTTAGCTATTCACAAAGGCTGCAATGTTTTTAAGTACTGTAATTTCTTCCACAAACTCCAAAATACGAAATTGTGCATAAAAATTGCTCTACAAACATGTTCGTAAATGTGATTCTTGTGTTAATTTGTCAGTTCAGATTTCAGTTTTTTGTTAAATGTGAACTTTGAAAATAATTTATTTATTTTTTTTATCCAATCCAACTTTATTTGTGCAGCACATTTTACCAACATGAGTCTCCAAAGTGCTGCACAGAGTTGGCAAAATATAAATTAACATATCAAATAAAATAAAATAAAATAAAGCATAAATTAAATAAATAAGCAAGTCAATAGAAAACATTAAAAATAAAATACTAAAATGAGCAAATAGAAAAATAGCAAATAAAATCAATAAAAACAGTCAGAGGTTTAAAAGTCAGTGAATACAAGTGTGTTTTTAAACGAGACAAAAAAAAAAAGAATCGACTGAAGGGGGCGCTCCTAATGTGAGGCGGAGAGTGAGACAAAGTTTGGGCCAACCACAGAAAAGGCCCAGTCACCCTGACTCTGTGTTTTTTAAATTTATTTTATTTATTTTTAATGTATTTTTATTGGTCTTATTTATTTATTGCTATTCCATGATTTTGCTCCTATTTTATGTTACTGGTTTTATTATTTCAAGACTAGTATGATTATTTGAGTAGTTTATTTTATCATTTTATTATTATCATTATTATTATGTATTTGTGCAGCACTTTGGAAACTGTTTGTGAAATGTGCTATAGAAATAAAGTGGATTGGATTGGACTTTTAAGTCTCATTTTTTTGGGACGACAAGTCTGATTTCCAACTTATTTGACCCTAATTCAAGCTTTAATTGGACCCGGTCAAGCAGAAGTAAACAGCAAAGCCAAAAATTCAAGTTAATGCATCTGATATAAAAATGTATTGAACAGATACATATGTACTCTAGTTTATGAAACTGTTTACCTTTTTTCTGTACCATTTTTGGTTCTAAAGTTCCATATGTTTTAAACAGACCATGTATGAAACATGGAACAAAAACTTATTTCCCAAATTCAAAGACCTGCAAATCATGTAAATAAATGGATGTATTTCATCATATCTTGTGTTATTCCATCTTTGAACTGTTGATGAAGGTACATGATTTTTTTTTTTTAAATATATTTAAAATGAAAAAAAAATTGCTTGGAAGGACTGACATATTTTATAGAAATAGTTTCCTTTCATTTTGAAGTAATATTAAAGTATTCAGAAGAAAAAAGCGACAAATGATGTAAAATCCTGCACCTTCTACTTGTTTGCACAATTTTCCCTCTGTTACTTTTCCCTCCGTTACCATGACCTTTCTTAATAAAAAATCTCATGACTCAAAAAGTAAGAGGTTTTTCAACCTAATCTTGTACCATATGGTAGAAAACTATATGAAGCAAATATTCAAACCAGTTTGTTAAGGATATGTAAGTGAGAACCAAGAGTTATCACTGTTTGGATTTATTGCCCAAAAAAGTGCTGCATATTTCATTCCCTCCGTTACCGACATAAGTTTTTTTAATTTTTTGGTCAACAACTTGAAAGAATATCACAGGTTTAACTTGACCCTGTTGGAGTGTAACTCTTTCCTACATTCTGATACTTTACTTATTTCAATAGTTCCTCTAGTTTCTGAATAAGAGACATTTGAATGTAAAACTCTGCCTGTTTCCCTCCGTTACCACTTGACCAGACCCAATTGCGTGTTCCACTTTAATTTCTTTGTTAGATTTTTTTTTTTCTTTTTCATCCAACATCATTTGAAGTAAAGGTGCACTGTGTAACTGTTTTAGTGGACGATACGCCGGCTCGTCTCCATGGGGATGTAAGTGGTAAATGTTCCATAGTGTGGCATTACACTTATCCATCGCCATGGAGACAAGCAGGTGACACCACCAGGCCGAGTCAGATCTGTGGAGCGACGACTCCATTCACAGTAAAAGGCATGATTACCTCCGCCAAGGAGGTTATGTTTTTGCCGGCGTTTGTTTGTTTGTTTGTTTGTTGTTTGTCTGTTAGCAACATAACTCAAAAAGTTCTGGACCGATTTTGATGAAATTTTCAGGATTTGTTGGAAATGTGAAAAGGAAGAACTGATTTCATTTTGGGGGTGATCCGGAAGAAATCCTGGATTCTGGATCACTTTGAAATTTTAGTTAACATTGTGGTAAATGGGGCCAAAAATTTTGTTTCTCAATATCTCGGTTAATTATTGACCAAACCCCATGAAATTTGACTCAGGGATGGACAATGGGATCCTCTTTCATATTCCAAAGGCTGATTCGGATCTGATCCAGAAGACTGATTTTATCGCAATTTATATAAAAAATGAGGGTAGTCCTTGGCGGAGGTCTGCGCTCTCTGACTGCTTTTCTAGTTTTTTTTTGTTTTTTTTTTTTAATCAAGATTTTGAAGCACCAGTAGTTAGGGCAATTGTCCTTTATTCGTTTAGTCGATGAATTCGTCGATTGAGTTTTAGTCCAAAGTTTGTATTTGTCGATTCATCATTTTATTCAGCTGAATCAGAATCAGAATTTATTTGGCATTTCAGTATAAAAAAAAAAATACACAGAAACGAAATACTGCACTCAGGTCCAGGTCAACAGCAGCATAGATAATAATAAGAAATAGTTAAATTATTGAAAAGTGCTTATGTGGGACAACAGCACAAAGGAGAAGTGAGTGAGTGAGCTGAAGATTTGGTCTTTTTTGTTATTTCTTTGTAAAAAGGCTGATTAAACTCTTTATACACTAATCCATCTCAAAGTTCAATATTTTTTGTCACTCTTTTCAGAACCCATATATTATATAAACTGTAACACATTGAGTGAAACCTTTATGTTGTTGACATTTAGATGAATATAACTTACAGATAATAAACCCAAAATTCAGCGTCTCAGAAAATTTGAATATTGAGAAAAAGTTCAGTGAAAATAAAGTGGAAAACTCATCATGTCAGACTGTAATCAGCTCATTAACTGCAAAGGTTTCTGAGTTAGTGGGCTACAGTATCGTGGGGAAAACCTGCTGATGTGACAGAGGTCCAGAAAACAGTCCCTGACACTTTCCCCAAAGCCACAAAATGTCACTAAAAGAAGCTGGTTGTTCGCAGAGTCCAGTCATTTTCATAAAACAAGGAAAAAATGTGGTTGAAAAAGATGCAATAGCAAATGGGAAAACCTGAAGCCTTGAGAGGATTTTCAAGCAAAATCCACTCAAGAATCTGATGGAGCTGCACTAGAAGTGGACTGAGGCTGGAGTCAAGAGCCACTAGAGCCAGACAAAGCCTATAAGAGACCTGAGACGATGTCAGAAGAGTCTGACCTGGACTGTGGAGACAAACAACTGGACTGTTGCTCAGTGATCCAAAGTCCACTTTTCAGATTCAAGTACATTTCCATATCTTTTGGAAATCAAGGTCCTAGAGCAGGGTTGTGCAATACGTCGATTGCGATCTACCAGTCGATCGCCAAGGTCGTGTGGGTAGATCGCCATGTCTTAGTACGCTTCTTGGACTCGTGTTTGGACTCGGTCTTGTCTCTCACTCGAGGTCTGACACTCAACAAGTGTGATCATATTTCATTACGGCCGCTGCTGTTGGTAATAAACTTGTAGCGGGTGCAGGAGCGTGTGGGGCGTCTCAGTGCAGCCTGTGTGCTCATTTAAAACCCGCGGAGACTCTGCTGCACATCACAAACACACACGCTCCCTATGCACGGCTCGTCCCGCGACAGCGTGTGCCCTCGTGTACCAGCGTGCATCACAGGGCAGGTTCAACTTCCTAAACATTCTACCTGTCCATCTGCCTCACGTCAGCACGCCGCCCCTCGCCTTTTCACGCTCTCGCTCCTTCCTGCGTACAGCCAACACAAGCCCCTCCCACAGTGCGGCTGATTAGAAGAGCAAGACCAAACGTGAAGCAAAAACCAGTCTAAATTTGTGTTCCAGTGTTGGCACAAAGCATGTCTCCAGGTGCCCATATTGGCCGATAATATCGGCCAGCCGATATATCGGTCGGGCTCTAGTGTGAACAGCCCTGATCTAGAGTCTGGAGGAAGAGTGAAAAATCTGAGTCCACGTTGCTTGAAGTTCAGTGTGAAGTGTCATCTGCTGCTGTTGGTTCACTGTGTTTTCTGAAGTCCTGTCAGTGCTGGCGGCACTTAGGGCCTCCACTCTGTTTCATTTCTCTCCAGCGACTAGACTTTAATCTTTTCAATCCGGCCCACTGAACTTGAATAACAATAATTTTCAGTGTTTTAAACGTCATTTCAATAAATAGTAAATACGTGCGACTTGAAATACAGATATTTTGTTGTGATCCTTTGTAATGATTTTCAGTTATGGGGTATTTTTTTCTCTTATGAGATGGATTAAAAAAAAACTCCATCCATCTGCTCCTAGTCGGGCCCTTCCATCAAATTTTAGAACCCTTTGTAGACCATGAGTCAAAAAGTTTGCCCACCCCTGCACTAGACGGTTCACAAAAACACCGGAAGTGCGAGTTCGGGCACCAGTGAAAAGCCAGACATTCTGTGTTGGCAACGATTCCCGAGATTGAGGATTTAAAGCCGGAACAAAGAGAATGTTTGGTGAATTTTATCAAGAGGAAAGACGTTATTGTCCTTCCTACGGGATTTGGAGCATTACATAAATCACGACCAAACAGCAGCGATTGGTTAAATAAAAAAGTACATGCCTACCGTTGAGTGAACGAATCCTAACACTGCAAGGTCAGATGGTTTCTACAAAGTGCAACCGGCTGATGAATCAGGCTAAGTCAGTGCAGCATCTACCAGGACATTTTAGAACACTTCATGCAAACTTCATCATAAATTCTTCGATAAAAATTGTATGATGATACTGAAACTGACAGAATTCTCTTTTTATTCATTTTCTGAACAGATTTTTGAGCAGCCATGACTCCCAAAGTTGCACTGGTGACGGGCAGTAACAAGGGCATCGGTCTGGCCATCGTCCGTGCTCTGTGTAAGCAGTTTGAGGGCGATGTCTACCTCACCGCCAGAGACAGGTGAGCTCCATGCACCTGCCGCAGACACCTGCCACATGCGCCTACTTCAAAGGTTATCAGAAGAAGTATCAAAACTAGATAGTAATTGGAAGTATCAATAAAAACAGGACAATCGCTCTTATAGAAACTTTATCCATCCTTTATCCAAGCTCACACAGAGATTATTTTGTATTTAAACTTTTATTCATGACAATATCTACTACATATCACCTGTCACATGCACCTGCCCCTTCGTTCGGACTGTCTAACTCCTGACATGTGACCTGTGGCGTTCCAGGACTCGAGGAGAAGAGGCCGTGAAGACTCTGGGCTCTGAGGGACTGAAGCCCAAGTTTCTGCAGCTGGACGTCACTGATGTGAGCAGCATCACCAAAGCAGCCGCCTTCTTCAAGGACACGTACGGAGGCTTGGACGTCCTGGTCAACAACGCCGGCATTGTGTTCAAAGGTACGGTCAGGCGGGAAAAGGATGGGTTCAGATGAGATCTCAACATTTTAGAATCCCGGTAGTTTATGTATTGAGCTGGAGACAGGTCAGAATTTTGTGGAATTTGCTGTTCGTCAGATTTCAGATTTGTTTATCTGGTTTATGGTTGATAACTGTAATTATCCACTTGAAACAAAAAATGGCATTAAGTTAAAACTTCTTCTGTCTGCAGAAATCAACAAAATAATTGCTTCAGAAAGAGGTGCCCAAAGACATGTTTGTTGTCAGTTGAAAGAACTCTAAACCATGATTAATATGACAAGTTTGTGGAGCCAGTCAATTCGTAATCTGCACCTGAGGTTCAGATAGTGCGTACAAATGCAAATGTTCATTGTAAGGTTTACGTATAAATGTCCTTTGAATGCAAGGGTTCAATTTACCGTGCCCAGACGAAGTAAGAACACGTGGAAAAACAGTTTGTGATAGAAAAGGAAAAAACTGGTCCGCAGAAGAGACCTCCTACCAGCCCAAACAAAGGAGAGGATGCTCAGAGGCTTCAGCGTTCACAGTTCTTTGGTTCTTATTCTGGGTTAGTTTGCCATCAAAACCAAAACCTGGTCAGTCCAGTAGTTGATCGACTGCAATGCTTTTTTTTGAGTAGGTAGTACTGGTAGTTGGTTCCTGCAGTTTGACATTAGTTAGGACTGTTTCAGTAAAATTACATGACAAAATAGTGATTAAAAGTGTAAACATCCCTTCAACAAAAAGTTTCTTAAGCACATCCTGTTTGCTTCACTGGTAGACTGTCACTCCTGCTTTATATTACGCTTTGATTGGTCTGCGCTTAGTTACGTGACTGAGTGAAGCGCAGGCAGTGACACAATCATGCAGAGAAGCTATAAATTATTATTGTTAATGGTGAGGAATAACTATAGTTTTTCCACCCAGGTTACACAAACAAATAATGAGAAGGTTCAACATTTAGGGCCAAATGTAATATTCCAAAAACAGTGAATCTTCCATACAGGCCCCTGTGCTCCATTGAAATTATTATCTTTGGTTGCCCCATGTTCTCTGTGTAATCTGATGTCCATGTTTGTGTTCACTAGAGGGGGATACGACTCCATATGCTGTCCAGGCCGAGGAGACTCTTCGGACAAACTTCTTTGCTGCCAGAGATGTGCTAACCCACTTCATGCCGCTCATGAAACCAGGAGGTATCTTCTCTGTTCCTCTGCTCCCGTAGACTATAAACAGAAGAACATAGTTAACCTGAGGATGGCCGTGCATTCATTCTAGACCAAGTCTGGTTCTATCTGGCTTCTGTTGAAAAATGGTGGACCCTCTGTCATAATTCTGACCTTAAAATGTTTCTACTCTACATGATCCTGGAGTTTTTATGTAGCTATGTCTGTAGATCAAGATATAAACATTAATAATGCACCAATCAGGTGCTTTCTTCCCCGAGATCAGCTACCGTTACCATTAGCAACAGTAAACCTCAGTACTTCATAACTCCCTTCACGCATCCAGTCTGACCCGGGAATTTACCCAGGACTTTTCCAGAGCATTAAAAAACGACTTTAGCAGAAATATGGACTTTTTTGTTTTTTTGAAAAACTCTCAACTAGATGTAGCAAAAGTTAGATTTTTCTCATTTCGCTGCTGTGATTTTGACCAAGCATTATGAAGGGTTTTTTTTAACATTCGATCGTTGGTCCCAAATTAAGAAGTAGAACACATAGTGACCAGCAGAGTAAAGTGGTGTTTGGAAGTTTGAAGACAGAGTAAAGTGCCGTGTGAATGTTTGAAGACAGAGTAAACTACCGTGTGAATGTTTGAAGACAGAGTAAAGTGCTGTGTGAATGTTTGAAGACAGAGTAAAGTGCCGCGTGGATGTTTGAAGACAGAGTAAAGTGCTGTGTGGATGTTTGAAGACAGAGTAAAGTGCTGCGCAGATGTTTGAAGACAGAGTAAAGTGCTGCGTGGATGTTTGAAGACAGAGTAAAGTGCTGTGTGGATGTTTGAAGACAGAGTAAAGTGCTGCGCAGATGTTTGAAGACAGAGTAAAGTGCGGTGTGGATGTTTGAAGACAGAGTAAAGTGCCGCGCGGATGTTTGAAGACAGAGTAAAGTGCCGCGCGGATGTTTGAAGACAGAGTAAAGTGCCGCGCGGATGTTTGAAGACAGAGTAAAGTGCGGCGCAGATGTTTGAAGACAGAGTAAAGTGCCGTGCGGATGTTTGAAGACAGAGTAAAGTGCGCGCGGATGTTTGAAGACGAGTAAAGTGCCGCGCGGATGTTTGAAGACAGAGTAAAGTGCCGCGCAGATGTTTGAAGACAGAGTAAAGTGCCGCGCGGATGTTTGAAGACAGAGTAAAGTGCCGCGCGGATGTTTGAAGACAGAGTAAAGTGCCGCGCGGATGTTTGAAGACAGAGTAAAGTGCCGTGTGGATGTTTGAAGACAGAGTAAAGTGCTGTGTAGATGTTTACAGGCAGAGTAAAGTGCTGTGTGGATATTTACAGGCAGGGTGGTGAACATATCCAGTCTGTGGAGCTCTTCGTCCTTAAAGAAGAGCAGTGAGGAGCTGCAGAAACAATTCCGCAATGAGGACATCACCGAGGAGGAGCTGGTGGGGCTGATGACCAGGTATGTGGAAAAGGCCAAAATCGGCCAGCACAAGGAAGATGGATGGCACGAGTTCCCCTACGGAGTGTCCAAGATCGGGCTCACGGTACGTCACTCTCTGTAACACAAGTCTAATGGATGCCTGTCTGTCCGTGGGAGTGGGTCTCCTCGAGGTTTTGTTTTTTTCCCACTGGGCTTTTTGGAGTTTTTCTTGTAGACGGAGGGTCTAAGGACAAGGGACGTTCTGGGACAATTCTCCATGAGCTTGTTTCCTGTGATTGTTGGTTAATCTGCCTCTCTGTTATCAACCAGTGAGTGTGTATACATGCACATCAATAACCCGGTTATTAGCCATATCCCGGTTATGTCAGTATTCGGGTTACTGCGTTTACATGCGCACTGAGAAACCGGGACACTCATATCCGCGTATACATGATCAAATGGAGTATCCCGGTTTCTTGACATAATCTTACAAATGCGCAGGCGCAAAAATTAACTTAAATCGATTTAATAAACCAGGAAATATACAAACCGTGAGCTCCTTTAGCATAAGAAGCTAAGGAGCTACGAGATCTCCCACAATCCACTGTGCAGATTCTTCATTAAAATCTTCTGCATAAATAAACTCAACTTTACAACATATAAACCATAAACACTATAGACACATCAGCCCGTTTGATCAGATAATTCAGCTGTGATCACATTTGTTTACGTTTTACAGAAACGAAACTTAAGACCGTAGGCTAATTAGCATAAACTGTTAGTGGCGATAAAAACAACTCGCTCCTTGTGCTGCTGATGTGATCAGATTCTTTTGGACTAAATGACACGACTCTGTGGATTATGTGTGTTATTTCTGTGACAGAAGAGGTGCTAATGATGGTAAGTGTGTTCCGTGCATATAGAGTATAGGAGATAGTTCATGTTTTAGCTTTTCAGCGTCACACGAGTGCAGATTGTACGTGTGCAGGTTTAGCGCAGCTATTTATTTTACAGTCATTTCACTCGTTTGGACACTTTATTTATGTTGGTCAATTTATTTATGTGACTATTGTTGTGGTGAAAGGCTGGAAAGTGTCTTTTGGACGCATGCGCACTCAACTTTATGTTGCAGTAACCGGGATACTGCGTATACATGCCACAAGTAACCCGGTTATTATCGGAATAAACCAGCTACAGTAACCCGGTTTCTAATAACCAGGATACTGCCATAACCGGGTTACTGCGTATACATGCACCATCAAGAAACCGGGATACTCAAAAAACCCGATCATAACCAGGTTACTGATGTGCATGTATACGCACTCAGTGTGTGTTTTTTACTTTCTAATGGTTAATCTATCTTATCCCTGTGAGGAGTTTGTTGTTGTGATTTTTGGACTATATAAAAATAAATTATGTTGAAGTACAGGTTCTTCTTATTGATCCGTGTTGAGTTTGTTTTTGTAGACCCTGTCCATGATCTGGGCTCGTCGGTTGACTAAGGAGAGGCCAAAGGACAATGTAAGAGCACACGAACACCTTTTACTTTAGTCTCTCCTGAACTGGGAAACAGCACCTCAGTGGTTTGAACCCTCATCTGCCAACGCAAAGTCTGAAGCTGACTCAAGTGCACTGTGTGTCCTCGGGCAAGACACTCCACCCATCATCTCTAGATAGTCTTGGTCAGGACTACCTTAGCTTAGAGTGCCCAGACACAGAACATGCAAACTTCACACAGAAAGACCCAGCAATCCAGGAGCCATACCCTTAAATGTTTCTGATTATTGCCAACATTATTTACCCTAACATCGTTATATTCATGGAAGCAAGCTTTGTTTTTTTCTTTCTGTTTTGTTAAAAAGGGCAGTGGTGTAGTGGGGATTTTTTAAGTGGGGGTACACAATTCATAAAAGTTGCCAGTCCAGTAAAAATCTGTAATATTTGATGTTTTTTTTACTCAAAATGATGCAGAATCAGGTTATTAACATTAACGCCGTTCATAATCACCTACAGAACATAAAATCATAGACTACAACACATGAACCAGGACTAAACCAGGTCTAAACCAGAACTAATCTTGGACTTGACAGAGAGGAGAACCCCGAGCCCGTGGAGCAGGTGTCTGAACTTTCTACCAATTGTTCCCTCTTCAAAAATTAAACTTCAAAAATGTCTACAGAGGTTTTAGCATTCACGTTATTCATGTTTGAGTGATCTAGTGATCTCTCCCGATGCTCCCACACAACAATTTTCCATAAACAGACAGATAAATACTTTAGTTTGATCCTGAAGGAAAATCAATTTTCAGCTGTAAAGGAAACAAAATAATAATTAGAATTTAATAACACAGCAGTAATTTATCATTTATAGCGATGTGTTGTACAGACGTATGATGTGAAAAATATACAAAATATACAAAAAACGGTTACAAAAGTGAACATTTCAGCGTCACAAACCTGATGTGATGTGCACTTGTTTCATTAGTGGGGTGTATGCTAACTGTGTGGTCATAGCGCTCTGAGGGTTGAGTGACTTAGCATGGAGAGCAATAATGGGAGGATGTCAAAAACAACACTAAAACATTTTAATTAGTGCTGTCATGCGATTAAAAAAATTGAGAGATTAATTAATTATGATCTGTAATTAATTAATCTAATTAATCTCATTTTAATCTCACCTAAAAATTGCTGAGAAAAGCTTCAATTTGAGGTATTTTCATTTAAATTCATTATTACATTATTGTGGCAGATCAAAAGACTGATATAGAACAAAAAAAGTGACTTTATAAAGTCATTTATTGTTTAACAAATCTCTCCAAATTGGCTGTTGAGCCCAAGTCTCCATGAATTAGAAACTGTTTGTTGTAAAGTAAAGACGAGGAAATCTGAACATAATAACTTTTGTCTACTTAAAGACAATAAAAAGTCCAGTCTTTCCTTAACCATATTAAAAATATTATTGATTTATATATGAGATCACTGGTTTTAGTCCTGGTTTAGACCTGGTTTAGACCTGCTTTAGTCCTACTTTAGTCCTAGTTTAGTCCTGGACTGGATTAGTCCTGGTTTTAGTCTTGGTGTTAGTTCTGGTTTAGAAGCTCACAGGAGGAAGCGCGGTTTACGCAGCGTAACGAGAAAACACGATCCACACGCGGCTCACGGCAGCACGTCGGTGTCCACGCAGTAACTACGGAAGGAAACGTGATCCGTGGGTTCTCAGGTTAATGACGATGATGAAGGTGTGTGTTTGTGTGTGTGTGTTTGTGTGTGTGTGTTTGTGTGTGTTGTGTGTTTGTGTGTGTGTTTGTGTGTGTGTTTGTGTGCGTGTCCCCTCATGTGGCAGGTCACTATAGGACAGTAGTGCAGACATCATGAGCCTATGCAGGTTGTTTTCACCAGTGACATTTAAGTTGTAGGCGATTTTATATTTGTTATTTTCTTTTATATTTCACGTCGGGAGAAGAATTTCCAAGACACGAATGTGTTTTTACCTGTGCACTGCTGCTCTGTTCTACTGGCTCTTCCACCTCGTCCATTGTGCGACTGACGCCGCCAACATTAACATGACGTTTACATCGCTCTTACTGCGCGCGTTTTGTGTGGGTTTCCGGCAATGAGTGGAATTACCGAAATTAAAAAAATTTATAAATGTGTTTTGTGTGTGTTGTTGTCCCAACAACACATAAAAACAGGTTTTATAATAAAGCAACTCACATACAGAAACACTAAAGTTAGAGATTAAAAATGAGATTAACGCGATTAAAAAACATAACGCACTAAATATGACTGTAATTAATTAATCGCAATTAACACGATAATTTGACACCCCTAATTTGAATACACTGTTTTCAGCTGATATATCATTTTCAAAGTGATAAAAAGTATTAAGGTGATCTTGATATTTGTGTGAGCAGTTAATACGTCACAGAAATATAATCCCGCCTCTTTACCGTCCGTTTGTGTCGTAGATCCTGGTGAACGCGTGCTGTCCGGGCTGGGTGCGCACGGACATGACCAGCGACAAAGCTCCGAAGTCTCCAGACGAGGGCGCCGTCACCCCGGTGTACCTGGCCCTGCTGCCCCCTGGAGCCACGGAGCCCAACGGCAACCTGGTGTCAGACAAGAAGGTGCAGCCGTGGTGAGGGTCGGTCTGCGCCGCGGCCAGAGAAGCAAATCATACGGTTAATTTAGTTTGAAGAGTTTACAAAGATCAATAATTAAA